TAATTACTCTTGACTCGACTTCAATGAACAAGTTCTAGAAGTTGGAGTTGGTCTATGATGATGATTACTCGTGACTTGGACTTCAATGAACACTTCTGGAAGTTGAGTTGGCCTATGATAGCTTTGACGTTGGTTGAAAATTGGTTTCCTCTCGGTTGCATTGTCGATGAATATGTTTACAAAATTGTTGATGACGTCCGCCACAAGTGGTCGAGGAGCCTCAAGCAGTTTGGACAATTCGCAATCGCTGCCGTCTTTGCTCAAGTTTAGGTCGCTGGGGTTCATCTTGTTATCGTCGGTTCAAGTCATGGTGGTGCAGCCTGGCATCTTCCAAGTCAGCCCGTGTTGCCTTGTTTCAGCCCGTCTTCAGCGTGAATCAACTCATCATAGCTCGGTGTCGGCAAAAGCGGGTCACGTGATGGTTTATAAAATATGCAGCACACTATGTCAATGGAAAAATAGAGCAGCAAAACCGTCCAGCCCCAAACGGTAATCGGATAGCCCCGGGAAGTAGCCGAGCCGCCCGAGCAGCAGCTTACACTCCCGAGGATCAGTCAAACAACCCCGAGCAGCAGCTTGTAGTCCCGAGGATCAGTCAAACAGCCCCGACTCGACCAAACAGCTCCAAAACAGCCTCGGCTCGGCCCAAACAGCTCCAAAACAGCCCCACTCGGTCCGAACAGCTCCAAAACAGCCCCAATTCGGCCCAAATAGCTCCAAAACAGCCCCGACTCGGCCCAAACAGCTCCAAAACAGCCCCGCTTCGGTCCGAATAGCTCCAAAACAGCCTAACTTCGGCCTGAATACTCCAAACAGCCCCGCTTCGGCCCGGGCAGCTCCCGAATATATTTGTTTCATCCCGAACAGCCCACGCGGAGTCCGAACAGCAGCCCGAGCATGTCAAACAACCCCGTAAAACCGAGATAATACTGTTTCAGCCCGGAAGCAACCGAACTGATTCGTTTACACCTTAACGGTCACCGAGTAGCCCCGTTTCCTCTTCAATAATGTGCTGGCGCAAACGTAACAGGCAAAGAAAAAAAAAAGAAAGCACAGAAAATGAAAAAAAGAGCATGATCATACCTCTTGGGCAATTGATCGAGCACCTTGTGGTCGAAATTCTGGACCAGAGATGTCTAGAAGCCTATGATATAGCCTGCAAAAAAAAAATCATAAGCAGCAGAAACAATTAAACAGAAGGAAAAAGAAAAAAGAAAAGAAAGATGAAATACTGCTCGTTCGTGGGTCGGATGTGGAAGAAAAATAAGAGAGCAGTCCTCTTTTATAGATGCTAAACAACTCCTATTTCTTAAAGAGTTACAGTAATAAGAGGACTTTGAGTTGAAAAGGATACACAGTCCAAGTGAAATTCGGAATCTTAGGCGTTTTGAGAGCACAGTGTTCTAATAGTAGAATGGAACTGCTAATCGTTGCATGTCGTGTTGTAAGTTCTGTGCATGTTGATGTCCCGTAAATATTGGTTTATATGGGCTAAATTAATGACGGCTTTAAAATTGGATGGTTAATTAATGTGCTTGAAGAGATAAATGCAAACTTCTTTAGCTGCCTACTAATAATTGTGGAAAGGATAAATCAATGCCAACACATCAGTGGACTGGAAGTGGATGGTTCAAGTGCTTATTAAGCCCAATTAAATTTGGCCCTTTTATTTCGTAGGCTGAAACTTGGAAAGGCTTGGAGTTGCTCAATTTCAAGTATCAAGCTATAAGAAGTAAATTAATTGGATTCAACTTAAGCTCAATACTAACCGAAGAAATTCCAAAAGCCCAACAAGGCAATGAGTCTATATCCAGTCCTCCAAACCCAAATAGAATAAAGTCGTGACTTATTCACTCCCAGACACGACGTCCGCGAACAAGTCTCGAGGGGGCATTTGTAGATAAATAAATTTTGAGTCAATTAAATGGCGACAAGTGTCAAATTCCATGTCATAGTCAATTTAATAATTTTCTATTTTATTTGGGAAATTAATCAAATTTTAATTCCTAAATTTAATAGTTAATTAATTGATTATTTAATATATATTGTGGGCCAATTAAAGAATGCCACGTGTATATTTTGAAGGCCAATTAAAGAGTGTCACATGTCATTTTCTTGGAGAGTAAAATAAATAATTATTTCTTTTAATAATTATTAAAGAGATAAATAAGTGGAAATTCATGGACCAATCAAATTGAAGTCTTTTTTTTCAAGACTCTCTCTCCTAATTATCTCTTTAAATAATTATTAAGAGATAAATATTGGAAATTATGGACCAATCAAATTGAAGTCTTCTTTTCCAAGACTCTCTCTCCCAACACCTATAAATAGGGGCTCTCCCTAAGGTGAAAAAACCACAATTCATATTCAAGTCCACAAGTCATATTCAAGTTCAAGAGCTCTAGAGAATTCTCTCCACAAGATTCAAGTGTTCTTGAAGATCCAAAGGCCTCTTGAAGATTCGAAGGAAGATTCAAGCACGTTCAAGCCCAAAACCGACGTTCAATCTGGAAACAAGCTGCCAAGCCTCCAAATTGCGTTATTAAAGTTCAAGTGTTTTGAAGATTCAAAGGCGTTCTTGAAGACCCGAAGGAAGATTCAAGCACGTTCAAGCCCAAAACTGACGTTCAATCCGGAAACAAGCTGTCAAGCCTCCGAATTACGTTATTGAAGTCAAGACCGGCGTAGAGAAGATCAAAATCAACTTTGCGGCGAAGACCAATGACTCGTGTTCTTCACGTTCTTGGGAAATCACAACGTTCGATTCGAGATCAAGCTATCAAGCCCTCGAAGAAACGTTATTTAAATTCATATTCAAGACCGGCGGAGATCAAACTAAAGATTCATCTCCAAAAGTCTCAAGTCTATTTGAAGATCGTTCTTGAAGAAATTAATCAGAGGAATAATAGAGATTTGTAATCCACTATATTTCATTTGATCCGTTGAAAATCAATTTGTACGAAGTTCTCGTGTTTACTAATTCAATAATACGAAATTTTGCGTTACAACAATATGAATATCAAATGAAAAAAAGTGACAAAATTATTAATATGATATATCATATATGAAATATTAATTATTTAACTATAAATTATTTTTAGTTACTTTTTTCACATCAAATTAAAATAGTTTCAATATAACTTCTTTATCAATATTACGAAAAATATTTATTGTACCCCTTTATTCTATTTTTAATGGCCAGGCTAAAATAAAAAATAATAAATAATAAAAAAAAAAATCTTCCTGAGTACTTGAGACTGTTGAGAGTTGAGACATCAGACATTGTTTTGTACCGACAATATAGCAAACATTAGTGGCAGTAAGTCTTATGATTTTTTTTTAATTTCCATCAACGTTTGGCTTTCTGTAACCGGTAACCGGCAATAACAGGTTGAAAATTTTCTGTCGGTGAGGAATTCCCACAGAATTATCACACAATGCATGTTACATTAACGAATTTGTTTGTTAAAACTAATATTTTTTACATTCACTAATAATCACCATTAATTTGCACCAATAAAAAATATTACTCCCTCCTATTTTTTTTTAAATGTCATTCTAGTTTTATTAACTATTTGCTAAATAAATGTCGTTTTGGATCTTTTGTACATATTTTTCCATTATTACCCTCATTTAGCCAATAAATACATTATGTCTTTTCATATTCACTCTTCACTTTTTCTCAAAACATTCATCTATCTTCATTAAATAAGGTTATTATTGACAAAAAAATATTCTTAATTAGTGTGCAACTTCTCAAAACGACATATATTAAAAATCGGAAGTAGTACTAGTTATCTATATGCATGCAATATTAAAATTATAAGTTAGATAATGGTATTATATATGTTTTGAAATTCAATCATTGGTTAAAATAAATAGTGCATAACTATTTGACTGCGTAAAATATAATAGATAATGTAATGTTTGTAATTTTGAAATATTATGACCAATTAATTTTTTGAAAAAATATTAAATTTATTATAAATTGCTTATGCGATTTTAAAAGGTTCACTATAACAATAAAGTAAATTAATTTATTTAAAAAACAATCGCTTAATCATATAAAAGAATATAATATTTATTTTAAAATAAATAACTTGAACAAAAAGTTTTACAATATAATTATATATTTATATTTATTTAACTTTCATATATTACAAATATAATTATTACTCAATTAATATAATATGTAATGATTTTTGTCTTAATTAACAAAATTATTTTGCCGTATAATTTATGAGTTTTTATTTAATGAATTGCTAGCAATTATATATATAAATTACAAATTAGAGGCAAATTGTCAGTGTTATATGATTCTCATTACATTAGCTCCACATTCATAAAATCTGGAAAAAAAAATGCATATTTATGGTGTAAAATGTTTTGTATTAGGCAGTCTAACCGTTAGACTTGTCCAATCAGTCTTTTTAAATAAAAATATGCATTTATAATGTAAAATGTCGTACTTTTATTTATTAATATCTTTTTAAATAAAAAAATATGTATTTTATAATGTAAAATGTCGAACTTTCATTTATTAATATGAGTGTCTAATCGTTAGACCCACGTAACAATAATTTTATTTCTGGATTTTAAAAGTACAATTGATGATTTAGAGCCACAAATATTTTATTTTATTTTGTGTTTTGAAAAGAAGGGAAAAACTTTAGGTAGCCTTTTCTGTTGTGACGTCCTCTTCTTCCCCGCCAAAATAAAAATCACATCTTTTCATTCAATAATTTAGAGCCCTTTTTCTGGAAAAAAAAAAAATATATTATTTTGTTTTTCAAAAATGTGTTACAATATTCTAACAAAAAACACAAATATCCAACATTTTCTGTTCTATTCTGCCAATGTTGTGCACATGAAGGTAATTAATTAATTAAGGCCATAAAAAAATGACAGTTGAGAAGTTTCTTCAAGATTCTTGTAATAAAACCATAATAGTAGGTATAAGGTTTGATGGTCATGCAAGAGAGTTGCTTAATTGGGCAGTGATGAATGCTGCTGGTCCTGGAGATTGCATACTAGCAATCAACGTGTGCCGAAATTCGGGTAATCGTAATGTCGGCACGGGTCGTTTTTGGTATATATGGAACTCTTTATGTAAAGATACTGATAAAAAAAAAAAATCCAATTTTGGTTTTGCAGGTTGTTTTTCAGCTGAGAGGGCTTTGTTAGATAGTTGTTTGGAAGAGTATAGAGGTTTGTGTAAGGATAAACAGGTTAGAATTTTTCATTCTTTTGTGTGTGTGTGTGTGTGTGTGTGTGTCTGTGTGTGTGTGTGTGTGTGTTTGTGTGTGAAGTTCTTCTAATAATGTGTGTTTGTGGGCTTTTTTTTCAGGTTGCTCTCAGTGGCCAAGTCTTGAAAGGAAATTCAATTAAAAAAGTTTTGGTGAGAGAGGCCAAAAACTGTAGTGCATCACTTGTTATTGTGGGGATAACTAAGCTCAGTGCCTTTGGGTGAGAATTGAGATATAAATATTTAAATATTAGCTACAAATTAAAACTTAATGTTTCCCTTAAATTCTAATTTTGTTATGTAAAAAATAGTTGATTTTCAAGTGTTAATTAAACACAAGTTTTCCTCACAGAGGATGGACTTCAGTTGCTAAATATTGCTCAAAAAAGCTGCCTAAAACTACTGAAGTCATTTCAATTTATGATGGGAAGGTTTTCTTCAGCAGATTATCCAATCTGCAACTACTTCAAGGTTCGGTTCGGTTCGGTTCGGTTCGGTTCGGTGTGTGTTTTCGTTCATCGTAATTTTCAAAATCGTAATTTTTGTTTTTTTAACGGAACATTACAATCGTTATTTGGATGATCTACAGAGCCCGTCTCGAGTTTAACCGAAAAAGTCAACTTCACTAACGCTCGCTCGAAATTTGGCGAATCCAAAATGTCGAGTTTCGATGAGAAAGCCCGATTCGGAGTGAGCGATCCCAAGCCCGGCTGGCCTTTGCTTCAGACAGCCGGCTCGAAAGCTCGACCGTCAAAGGATGCAAGAAAAATATCGGTCGT